GTTTAATGTCTTATCTGAAGGACAGCACCTCTGACAATGTAGCGCTCTCCCCCAACCCCCACCCCCTACCACCCTCCCCGGCACTGCATTGGATCGTCAGCCTAGACTATATGAGTTCTAAGTCCTGACATGAGGCTTGAACCGCAAGCGGCACGAGCTGGCAGGCACGTAGAGTGCTGAGGTTCAGAGAATCTTGTGACGGAGCCTGGAGATTGTATGGAGGGAGGCAGCAGATAGAAAAAGACAGAGCCAAAAGATCAGAGGACTAGGACGTGAAGATAGAGAGAGATCAAAGCCAGGGAACAAGGTGGAGCAGAGCCAGGAAAGAAACACAAGATCAAAGGCAGGATAGTACTGATGTGTTCTGAGACACAGGGGTATCCTATCTTGAGCAAGATCTAAACGTTTATTAAGAAGTCCTCATGGAGTTGTGTAGTGTACTGGTTAGCGCGCTCGCCCCACAAGCAATGGGCACAGAGGGGGAGGTGAAGGATGACTTATGGGACAGCCACCAACAATGGTACAGATAGGTCAGGAGGTTTGCAGTCGGCCTGAGCAAATGGGGTGGTAGAGGAGTGGCGGACAAGTACGTCAGAGAGGTCGGTGGTGCTGGTGATTTGAAAGGATTTGTATGTGAGGGGTGAGGATCTCAGAATCTTATAATGTAGTGGTTAGCAAACTTGCCTCGAAAGCAAGAGGACCCGGGTTTGATTCCTTGGTTAAATTTTCTTATTCCACACGCCTAATTTAGCAGTAAGTAGGAACCTGGTTGTTAGTCGATTGGTGGATCGCCTTACGGGGGTATTAATAATAATAATTTGGTCACTCAATCCACGACTATTTGTAGGACACTGCTGTGCAAAATAATATAATATAATATTATATATTTATTATTATATAATGTCCAAGTCCAATGCTGTGTACCAAGATTACTCGGCACCAGCTGTTTAATCCAGGTCCCCGTGTGAGGAACATGGGCAAGTAGACGCTTGAAACTGACTGTGATCATCACCGTCCTTGCCCGGCTTCACTGGCTCTCCTTGCCTCCTTCAAGGCCTGTCTCAAGATCTTCTTTTCGACTGTGCCTTCGGCCATCCTCCCTCCTCCACCCACGCCCTTCACCCCTCTCTGGTCCCAACCCACATCTCGGATGCAAACCCCTCATTGTCCAGCCCCTTGGGACGTCCTCCCAAGGTGCTGTGTAAATGTAATTTGCTGTTAATGTTGATTTTGTCTCCAAGCTGCTTAGCTAAAGGTTAGTGTAGGCCGGTGTAAGCCTGTGACCTCTTGTTCTACTGTCTCGTTGAATCCCAACATATTATTATTATTATTTATTCAATTACCTACTGTCAGGTGCTGCAGTGTCAGAGGCTTACTCAGTGCCAGCTGTTTAATCCAGGGACCTGGTGAGCTCTAGACAAGCTGACAGCCCCACTTTTCCTTTGCACAGACATTTATTTTTGGCCGTGATACAAACCCCTGAGATGATAGGAGGGATTGTGTGGTGTGGTCGCGCGGGCGGTGTGTGTGGGTGGAGGTGCAGCACTGACAGAGCACGCTTGTAAATGATTCCTTTATTCAGAGCTGCCCCCAGGCCTGTGCATAGAACAGTTGTATTGTCAATGCTGACGTGCGAGTTGAGAGGGAATCACACGCAATGATTAGCTTCACATGTGTCAGACAACAACAAGTAGTTACACCGGGACCGGTTTTTCTTCCCACTCAGCTTCTGCAAGCCAAAGCCATAATGGGACAAGCTGGACAAGCAACGGGAAAGCTTGCCAGATTCTGACAAAGATAACAACAACAAATTGCATTTACACAGCGTCTTTCATGACGGGAGGATGGCCCAAGGTACTGGACAGTCAAGGATTTGCACCCGACCTGGGTGTTTTGAGGGCCGGGAGAGTCTTGAGATGAACTTGAAGGAGGCGAGGGAGGGGGTGAGGCGGAGTGGGCTCTAGGAAGGATTCCAAAGGGCGGGGGCAAAGAGGCTGAAGGCCCAACTGCCGATGGTGGAGGGAGCGGTCAGGGTGGTAGGGGGTTAGAAAGTCACAGAGGTAGGAGGAGCAAGACTGTGGAGGGATTTAAAAGTGAGAACGAGATTCTTGAACTCTATCCTCCGGTGGGATGGGGAGCCAGTGGAGCAGAGCAAGGGTGGGTGGGGTGTGATAGACTCACGGAGCCTGGAGTGGGAGAGGACACGAGCTTGTGGAAGGAAGATTGAGAAAGTCCAGTAAGCAAAGGATTCCATTGCAATTTAATTTATCTTGTATTAGTGTGTCAGCCTTGCTCTCGCTCTCTCCCCCTGGCCTAGAAAGTTGTTGGTTCAAGCCCATTTTGGGAACTTTGAGCTCACAGTCCAGGCTGATGCTCCAGTGCAGTGCTATGGGGAGCGCTCCATTGTCGGAGACGCCGTCCTTCGAGTGAGTTGTCATACCAAGGTCTTGTCTGCCTGTTCAGTTCCTGCAAAACTGCAGAAAAAAAAACATTGCTCAGCCAACACTGTAATGCATCTTGAGATGACCCCCTGATGTCAAAAGCGCTATATAAATGTGTATTGTATTACAGCGTGGAAATTAACTGTCACGTTCATCTACAAAACAATAATAATCCTTGCATTTGATATAGCGCCTTATGACGTTGTTGAGAAGTCTCAAAGCACTTCACAGAATATACTAAAATGAACGCGCAATTGGATGCTGCGTTTCACCCACAAAACATACAGTGAATTCATTTTACAGTATTTTCTGAGAAGCACTTTGAGAAGTCTCAACGATGTGATAAGGTGCTATTTCAAATGCAAGGGTTGTTACATTCATAATCCCATCTGTATTCAACACTGAAATTATTGGCAGCACCATCAGGTGTTTGTATTGTGTGTTAACAAAGATGTGACATCCGCATGATAAGATTGACTTGTTCACAGAGACGCACTGCTCTTTCTCAGGCTGGATGTTACAATTCCCATCTGGTCTCATACACGAACGCTTGGTTGACTTGGGCAAATGGTGGCAATGCTCTCACACATTTCGTGCTGAGTTGTTTGTCTACCTGCAACCTCGCAGAGAGTTCCTGTACCTGCCATCCACCTAGTGAGGGCTCAAATCCACACCTGTCGGATGTTGAACAACCAACGAAGGACAATCCTCATTGGGAGGGGGTGGAGGAGGTAAGCGTTGTTCCTTTGGATAGCCCTCTGTGATAGCCGGGTTCCTGACCCAAGGAGCTGTGCAGCACTTGTGAATGGGACAGAGAAGAAATGAAGTGTGCTTTACTGATAGACACCTTGTCAGGGCAACCAGAACTCTGCACTCTGCTGTTCGTCAAGCAAATTGTACCGGCAGAGCAATTCAGCACGAGAGAGCATTCACAACACAATAAAGACACAACACAGACACAATACAGCACAGACACAATACAGCACACAATACAACACAGACACAACACAGACACACAGCACAGACACACAGCACAGACACAATACAGCACAGCACAAAATACAACACAGACACAACACAGACATAACATAGCACAGACACAATACACACACAATACAACACAGACACAACACAGACACAACACAGCACAGACACAATACAGACACAACACAGCACAGACACAATACAGCACACAATACAACACAGACACAGTACAGACATAGACACAGCACAGACACAATACAACACAGACACAATACAGCACAGACACAACACAAACACAGCAGTCATATAACAATACAGACACAACACAGACACTACAACACAGCACACACAATTCAACACAGATACAACACAAATGCAACACAGCACAGACACATCACAATACAGATACAACACAGCACAGACACAACATAGACACAACACAGCACAGAAACAGACACTACGCAGCACAGACACTACGCAGCACAGACACAATGCAACACAGCACAGACACAATGCAGAAAAGACACCGCACCATTACAGACACAACACAGCACAGCACTGACACAACACAGAACAGACAACACATGTGATTATGAATGTAACAACCCTTGCACAGACACCACACAACACACACAACACAGACAAAACACAACACAGACAAAACACAACACAGACACAACACAACACAGACACAACTCAGTCACAGACACAACACAGCACAGCACAGCACAGAGACAACACAGACACAGCACAGATGCAACAGAGTCCTGCGGACCCACCTGGCTCAGGAAAGTTGGCAAGAGGCCACCTCAGAAGGTGAGCTCAATTCCAACATTTCATAACCGTGGATAGTATTATTCAGATCCAGAGCTCCCCTCACAACAACCCCCCTCCTCCGCCCCACCACCACCAGGAGTATAGAGTGTCAGCCTGGCTCAGTCGATCACACTTTTACTTCTGAGTCTAAGGTTGTGGATTCCAACCCCACATCAGAACTTGGAATCCCTTAAGTCTAAACTGATGCTCCAGTACAATACTGGGGGAGCGTTGTGTTGTCAGAGGTGCTATCATTAAACTGAGCTCCCATTTGTGGTACAGGTGGATGTCCAACAACAACAACAACAACAAATTACATTTGTACAGCGTCTTTCAAGTTGGGAGGATGTCCCAAGGCACTGGACAGTCAGGGGTTAAGTATTCTGCAGCGCTATTGGAAAAGAGAAGAGAGTTTCTCTCTCCCAGCCAACAATTCCCCAGATAAAAAAATTAATCATTGATATCATGGCTGCTTGTGGTAGTTGCTCTGTGCAAATTGGCTGCTGCGTTCATCCACAAAAAATACACAGTCACAATGAGACGTCCTGATGACGTGGTAAGGATGTGAAACCCAAGGATTATTATTATTATAAGCTGTGATGCTCCCATGACTGTCTGTGCTGGGGTTCAGGGAACTCATTACAAGGAGCAGTGACGGAGACTGTTACCTCCCTGGTCTCCACGTCTCAGTGACACATCACACCCACGGTCAGCCACTGACCGTTTTTAACCCCAAGACCACATGATCAGTTGGCTTACTCATCACCCCATCTCCAGCCACCTCCTGATTCTCAGTTGCGACGGCTAAGTTAGTGAGAACAAAATGAGGCATCTTCAGGAAACTTAGCTCCTATTCTAAAATTAATCTCCATTTGTCCTCACAGTAACATTTCTGAAATGATTGGCACAGGACCCACGAGAGAGAATTCACAACACAGATACAACACAGGCACAGCCTCCAGTCTGGTTCCTGAGCCAGGTGGGTCCGTAGTATTCCAGGGCACTGCTGATGACAGAACAGCCCAGCCCGGCTCATCGGAAGGAGCTGGAAGGTCAGACCAGTCACTGAGGGCAGGGAATCCTCCCACTCAGGTCCTGTTAAACCTGCAAGCCAAAGCCTTAAGTGGGAGGGTGGTCCTAGCTGGACAAGCAGCGTGAAAGCTGACCAGACAGCAATATCGGTTTCAGTTATGTAGTTTTAGCTGGTTAGACTCCAGCAGTTACCCTAACACACACTCTTGCCAACTTCTTACCGACTGTTTGTGGGACACTGCTGTGCACAATTGGCTACTACGTTTTGCCCACAAATATACAACAACAACAACAACAACAACAACAAGATTACATTTGTATAGCTCCTTTCAGGTCAGGAGGACATCCCAAGGTGCTGAAATATACAGTCAATTCACTTTACAGCATATTCTGTGAAGCGCTTTGAGAAGTCTAGAAGACGTGAAAAGCACTCTATCAAATGCAAAGATTATTATTATTATTATATAACCTGCTCCTAATACTCTCCGGAATTAGGTAAACAGGATGTGTCCGTCCAGGGAGAGAATGCGCATTCCATTCCAACAATCCATCTCTGGGATTTTCATGTGTAGATGGGATGCAGGGAAACCTCAGCTTGGTTTGGAGGTTCTTATGCACAGTGAGGGGTTTCCGCACATGTCAGATACCAGATGCCCTGGGTTCCAGCCCATCAGATCCCAAGATAAACTGAAGGAAGTTAATAAGAATTCACCTCCAGATAAACATACAGGATTTTTGCTGCAAGTTCCTCGCTGGCCCGCTATCTGCATCGGCCAATCTGGAACCTGGCAAGGTATCATTATTGTGATGCCAGGCGACAGGTCAGCACAGACAAAAGGGAACAAAGATGCATTCTTATCCTACCTTAACAATGGAGGCTTTTTCTCTTTTGCTGCACCTGAGATAGGAGGTTCTGTCAAGCGATGAACTTCTCATTGTTTTCAGCATCAGTTATTTTGTGGCTTGTCTCAAAGTCAGCCTGTCACCACATTATCTTCTTCAAGTGAAGTCCTGTAGCTCAGTGGTTAGAGCACTCGCCTGGCAAACGAGAGGACCTGGATTTGATTGCCGGGCAGTGTGAAATATTGGGCAAGTTTCCTTACTCCACACCCCTCTGTTTACCTTGCAGTAAGTAGGAACCCGATTGTTAGTTGACCGGCAGATTGCTTTTCCGAAGGTAATAATCCGTCTAAAAAAAATAATAATTTGGTCACACAAGTCACGACTGTTTGTGGGACATTGTTGTGTGCAATTGGCTGCCACGTTTTAGCCACGAAATATACAGCCAATTCACTTAACAGTATATTCTGTGAAGCGTTTTGAGGATTATTATTTTTCTCACCACATATCCTCACCACATCCTTATTGCACTGGATCCTGGTCTGAGCTGACAAAATGATGGCACCACAGCCAGTCAACCCTAAAACTAGATACCTTTTGTCCCATATGTCTCGTTATAGCTTTAAAACAAAACATGGAATGAGGGACCAATTTAATTTTGGGGGATTGTCGGCCATTATACTGGGAGAGAGAAACTCCCTTGTCTTTTCCAATAGCCCCACGGGATCTTTAGTATCCACCTGAACAGGCACAGATGGGACCTCGGTTTAACATCCGACACCTCTGACAATAGTTTGAGAAACCTCCCCACAGCGTGCTTTGGAGCGTAGATTAAACTACGTGTTTCCATGTCTCGACGTGGGCGGCTTGAACTTACAACCTTCTGACAGAGATGAGAGCACCTCAGCACGTAAAATGGGTGAAAGAATACCTGCCAACAGTGGGGCGGGCAGGGAGGGGACCCGAAGCAGGCCGGTGCCTGTGAATGGGGGGAGGGGCTAGGCTGGATTAGTCGGGTGGCTTGTTTAAAGCCGCCAGTGAATCCAGCTTAATGACAACCTGGCAAAACTGTAGGAACCTTGATCAGGAGACAGAAAGGCAGTGTTTTGCTATTGATCAAACGCCCGCAGGTTATAATGACAGCACAGAACTCTCTGCTCTCTGCACAGCGCTGTTTATCATATCCTCCACTGCCACAATGCACAGCAGGGTTATGAGAGATGTGATGTGAGATAGCAAAACACCAGCTCTCTTCATTCAGTACATTGTGCAAAACGTTGGGGCAAGTTTCCTTACTCCACACACCTCTGTTTACCTAGCAGTCAGTAGGAGCCCGGTTATTAGTCAATTTGCAGATCGCTTTACGGGGGTAATAATCCCTCCGAAAAGAAAATGTGCTCACTCAATCAATGACTGTTTGTGAGACATTACCATGTGCAATTGGCTGCTGCGTTTCACCCACAAAATATATATCCTTTGAAGAGCTTTGAGACATCCCAAAGATGTGAAAAGTGAGTGAGGCGAGGCCAGAGTGAGAAGGAATTGGGTGAGAGTGGGAATTAGGTGCAGAGGGGAAAGTATATCTTCTAAATGACAATAATACAGGGATACATAGAGTGAGAGGAGAGAATGACCTGGCAGGTGATGTGTGAGGAATGTGGTATGTGGGAGTTGATGGAGGGTGTCCTGAGCCCGGGCGACTTCACCTGCAGCAAATGTCTGCAACTGAGGAAGCTCCATCTTAGAATAGCTGAGCTGGAGTCTCAGGTGGAGACTGTGCAGCATTAGAGATGGGAAGAGCTTCCTAGAGAGTTTCATCCTGGAGCCAGACACTCCCACGAGTCCCAGGGAACATTCTGTTGCCAACCACGGACAGGACTGGGTGATGGTCAGACAGGCGCAATAGGGGACCTGAAAGAGAGGGGCAGAGGAACCCCAGGCTTTATTTAACCTTGTCCAAAGGTATGAAATACTTGCAACCTGTGTGGACAAGGAGGTCTGTGAGGAAGATGGCAAACTTACCCCAACACCTCTATACAGGAGGCCACACTGGGAATAGTCAGAAGGAATATAGTGGTAAATGGGGATGAGACCGTCAGGAAGACTGACGCACTTTACTGCAGCCGTAACAGGGAGACAAGAAGACTCGGGGGCCAGGGTGAAGGACGTCACTTCTGGACTGGAGAAAAATTTGAAGCAGGAGGGAGTGGATCCAATAGTCATGATTCACATAGGGACGAATGATGTAGGGACGAGTTGAGGACAGGTAGGAACGAGTTGAGGAGCAAGTTCCGGGAATTGAGAGTTAAGCTAAAGAGTAGAACTTCAAAGGTATTAATATCAGGATTATTACCTGAGCCAGGGGCAAATTGGTACAGGCAAAAAAAAATTAAAGAACTGAATATCTGGCTAAAAGAATGGTGCGGAGGATAGGGGTTTCACTTTATAGGCCACTGGCACCAGTATTGGGGGAGACAGGAGCTATTCCAAAGGAATGGACTCCACCTAAACAGGACTGGGACAAATGTCCTGGCAACACGAATAAATAGGGAGGTAGACAGGGCTTTAAACTACTAAGGGGGGGGGGGTAAATTCAATCACATGTAATCCGTCACAATTAAAATTAGGACCGATGAAAGTGGGAGAGCAGATTAACCAGGGAGATGAGCAAAGTGTGTCAAGCGGGGAAAAGAAGCCCAGGGATAGGGTACTGGTGAATAGGACTAATAGCCTGAAGTCAGAATTAAAGACGCTATATCTGAATGTGTGAAGCATTCGAAACAAGATAGATGAACTAACTGCACAAATAGAAACAAACGGGTATGATCTGGTAGCCATCACCGAGACATGGTTACAGGAAGATCAAGGGTGGGAGCTAAATATTCCAGGGTACGTGTATAGGAAAGATAGGCAATGTGGTAAACAAGGAGGGGGGTGGCCCTGCTAATAAAGGATGGGATAAAAACAGTAGAGAGGAAAGATTTTAAATCAGAAAAGCAGGAAGTAGAGTCAGTATGGGTAGAGGTACGTAACAACAAGGGGCAGAAAACTCTAGTCGGAGTAGTTTATAGACCCCCCAACAGTAGTCACAGTATCTCTTAAGCTATAAATCAGGAAATTAGCAGAGCATGTAGTAAAGAAAAACATTAATTGTGGGATTTTAATCTGCAGTTTTTATAAATATATAAAGAGGAAGAGGCTGTCAAAGGTAAGTGTTGGTCCGCTACAGGCAGAGATGGGGGGATTACGGTAGGGGACAAAGACATGGCAGAGTCATTGAACAAGTACTTTGCTACTGTCTTCACTTTAGAAGACACTGAAAACCTACCAAGAATAGAGGGGAACCAAGAAGACAATGTTAGCGAGCAACTTGGGGCAATTAATATTAGTAAAGAAATGGTTTTAAGTAAATTATCAGGTCTTAAAACTGATAAATCTCCTGGACCTGATGGCCTACATCCTCGGGTTTTAAAAGAGGTGGCTACTGAGATAGTGGATGGCTTGTCTTTGATCTTCCAAAATTCTCTGGATTCTGGAACGGTTCCCATTGATCGCAAACGTAACACCACTATTTAAGAAGGGTGGGAGAGAAAAGATGGGGAACTATAGACTAGTTAGTCTGACATCAGTGGTAGGGAAAATACTTCAGTCCTTAATTAAAGATGTTGTAATGGGATTCCTGGAAGACCATAACAAGATTAGGCAGAGTCAACATCGCTTTACAAAAGGGAAGTCGTGCTTAACTAATCTTTTAGAGTTTTTTGAAGATGTATCTAGCAGGTTAGATAGGGGGGAACCAGTAGATGTAGTAGATTTAGATTTTAAGAAGGCATTTGACAAAGTGCCACACAAAAGGCTATTGCACAAGGTTAAGACCCACGGGATTAATGGGAACATATTAGCATGGATTGAAGAGTGGCTAATGGGTAGAAAACAGAGAGTAGGGATAAACGGGTCATT